ATTAACATTAAATCGTCCTCCTCCCATTTTCACCTCAAAATGTTGGGGAAGCTGTGCCTCCCCTGCCTCCCCCGACGAGCTTACACTGGTAAACAGCAATGTGTCTCTGCTGACTACCTGTGATTGGATCACCTGAGACAGATCTTTAAACCATGAGTAAACAGAGCCTAAATCTGGACTTTTGTCTCTTTTGGACTTTTGTAAATGTAAATGTAAGTATTTCTGAATGTTTTGGTCAAAGACGGTTATTCAACTGAGCTAATTCTCGCTCCAACAAAAGCTTTCACCCCAGGATATGCCGATGACAAATACAAATCAGAATCTTTTCTTCTTCTTTGATAACAAGCAATTATTCCCTTTCCACTGTGGAGAACTCTCCCGCCGAATCGAAAGTGCTCCAAAAACTCTTCGATATAGAAACTTTCTCATCGCAGATTCTCAGGAGATGTAATTATTGTTCAGCTGACTTGTAAGACTTCCAGTGCTAGAGGAAAAACCCCTCCCCAGCCGACAATGCCACATGTTTATTTTTAACCACCCATAGAGCTCTAGAGTTCATGCTCTATTAAACAGAGTTTAACTCACAATGACCAGCACATGGGAGAGAGTTTGAAGCTGAAGCATTCAGGCTAATTTTGTTGCCAATGATCACATAACATCTGCAGGCATCCAGAACAGATTAGATAGATTACTTATAGGGGTCATATGATGCGATTGCAATTTTTCCTTTCTCTTTGGAGTGTTACAAGCTCTTGGTGCATAAAGAAGATCTGTAAAGTTGCAAAGACTAAAGTCTCAAATCCAAAGAGATATTCTTTATAAATTTCAGAGTCAGCCACACCTACCTAAAACGGCTCGTTCTAACACGCCCCCACATATCTACCTCACTATGTGGGGAAATTTGCATAACGCCACCCAAATGTTCACGCAAAGAAAGAAGGCGTAATTTTTATTCTTACTGTAGTATTGTTGACGCTGCAGCCATGTCGTGAAGGCACTGTGTGCTTCGTCCCGGGGTCGTCACATGTGGTTGCCGCTCATTCGTCGCATCCGCCGGGCGCACCGTTCTCGACCCCACCGCCTTAGCTCACTCTATCCCAGCCTCAGCGCACACTAAGCCGGGGCTTCGGCTCATGCTAGCCCGGCCTCAGCTCACTCTAGCCCGGCCTCAGCTCACTCTATCCCAGCCTCAGCGCACGCTAAGCCGGGGCTTCCACTCACGCTAGGCCGCTGTGTTTTTCGTTGTGAAAGCGAAACTACTTTGTTTGGTCTTCCAAAAGAGGACACGACTACAAATCAGTGGTTAAGTTGTATTTACAACACTGTTCCAGAACAGTTTAACCCAAATATCCAGATGTGTGCAGCACATTTTGGTGGCCTGTTTTAATTTTAGTTTTAGTCTAGTCTTTGTGTGAATCTGTCATATTTTTAAGTTTTTATTAGTTTTAGTCACGTTCATACTCTTTTTAGTCTAGTCAAGTTTTAGTCGACTAAAAGTCTGAGCATTTTAGTCTAGTTTTAGTCGACGAAAACTGATGACATTTAGTCTAGTTTTAGTCGACGAAAACTGATGACATTTAGTCTAGTTTTAGTCGACGAAAACTGATGACATTTAGTCTAGTTTTAGTCAATGAAAATTGTATCTTAGTCTCTTTTTAGAACTGCAATTCTATCTAACCCAGTCAATATAGTATAAGTACCTAGTAGTATAGACGAAACCAACATTTTATTTTAGCCAAACCCATTTCAAACAAGGTTATCTTATTATATTATTGTTACCTTATAGACTCAAGAATACATCCATTCCAGACACGGAAGACGCTCTGATTTGAATTTACAACATTTATTTTACCAACCAAACATGTTAGAAGTACACACACATAAATTTAAATAAAGACGAACCACGGCTGGCCGGCCATCAGTCCCTTTCTCTGTGTCAGATTTAGTTAAGTCTGACACAGAGACACAGTTTTTTTGTTTGGTTTTCGTCTTCTAAATCAGTGTTTCCCAACCTTTATTTAGTCACGGCACCCTTTGGAAATTTTTACAAATTTGTGGCACCCTATAAAATTAATTTGGTCACAATATTTGAATTTCTAACTTCGATATGATAATTTGAAAAGGATAGATATTTGGTACAACAGAGAAGAACTACAGAATATAATGTCATACAGATATTTTTAATATTATAAAAAAAAAATTGTCTATCAATGGTGGCAATCAGTAGGCTAATTTCTAACGAAGAGACCAATTTATATGACCGATTTTAATGTAGGCTTTTATTCATAAACATATATAAAAAAATTATTTTTTACACGGCACCCCTGCTCTCGACAGATGCGGTACCCCGGTTGGGAAACACTGTTCTAAATAATGCCGCGAGTGGGGCTTGAGGAAGTGACGTCGCCTGCGTCTGCGCACTGTGACCTGATGCAGCCCCTGAAGCGAGACACAGGAAACAGAAATACTGCAAAATAATAATAATAACGAGACGAAATAACGTTATAACATTTAGTTTCGTCTCGTTTTGGTCAACGAAAATGAAGAGACATTTTAGCATAGTTTTTATTTTGTAAACCACATTTCGTCTCGTTTTTATTCGTCAACGATATTGCATTGTACATTTAATTATCGTCATCGTCACATGACCAGCATTTTCATCTCGTCTCGTCTCATTTTCGTCACGTCCAAAGGTTCGTTGACGACTATATTTAGTCATAATTTTCGTTGAAGAAAGCAACACTACTTTAAACCCACACATTTCATTACACCAAATACACAAAATAATGTTCTTTTTAGCAGCATCATATGACCCCTTTAAGATTTGCTTATCTTCTAGAAGTCGACAGAGCATAACTACAGTATTTGCACTGTAAACACCATTAGTCAAATGAACTTTAATATGCTTTGCAGTCCAAACATCTGTGCAATGCCACAGCATTAACCATTCATAGAAGATAGACGTGTAATAATACCACATATTTATAATTACCAATAAATTATTTTCATAAAAAGGTTGAATTGAACGCATTTTGAAAATGATTGACAACTTGCATCCAATTCATCTAAATATTTAATACAAACAGACTGGGTTGTATTTGAAGTATTGGCTCATTTATTCTGCCATCCGACCTCCAGTCAGACCGCAGTCAGACAACCACAGTTGAACTTTAACTTCCTCTTCCTTTCTTTTGTGATGCAAATGAGTTTGTATTTATAATTAAAGTGATCAATATTCTGTTTTATGCTGTTCAAAGCTCGATTCGCTCTCCCAGAGTTCCAGCCAGTCATCTATAAAATCAGCACCCTCAAACCAGTCTACTTTGTTTACCCGACTTCAATCCCCGACTCTCCCTAAACATTTACAATCTGATCTGAGTCTAGTGAGTTTAAGACAATGTTTGGGCCTGGAGGATAGAGAAAGGTTTATTGGCTTTTGAAACATTTAGATATAGCTTAAATACTTCTACAGGTGTTGTGTATATGTGTGTTTTGTAAGTTTGAAATTCAAAAGTTGAAGTTTTTATTAGATCAGCACCTAGTAATGTTCTATCAGCAGAAGGTTCCCAGGGTATTGCTATGAGGTGGCTAAGATGTCCTGGCTGGTTGGTAGGTGATTGCTTACTGGTCAAAAGTCTCTATGATACCCTGGTTTCTAGAAATGTCATGCAAAACCATAATCTGGTCACTTAGAAATGTAATGGCACACCTCTCCTCAACAAGCTAGCAGTATGACATGAGGAACTGTTCATCCCCATAGCACCAATGATCCAGGACAAGTTACATGCCAACATGTAATACACAGGTTCAAAATCCCTAATCCAAGTATGAGCAATAATGCATAGCAAACACCTCTAATTATAAAATTAACTATTAATTAGTGTCAGCCCTCCGGGAAACCCAAAGCCACAATAATGTTTGCTGACTGTAACTTTTCTCTTTGTTTTTTTCTTTCTGAGGTGTGCTTTTTTTCAGGCCCATTTTAGTTATATTGAGACAATACTATTCCAGATTTGACAGATATAACTAAAGCTATAATTCTTTATTTTATCTCACAGCATAACTGTGACTAATATCCATTCTAGTTATGTTGTTTCTGCTCAGGAAAGAGTTTTATTTCATTTATTTATTTATTATGGTATTATAGTATCTGTCAATATTTTTTATATATTTAGCTTTTATTTTCATTTTCAGTTTTCATTTCAGTAATTGTGTTACTACACGTTTTTTGTTTAATATTGAGCTGTAATTTATTCTTGTTTAAGTTTTATTCATTGTAGTACTTCCACTTAATTTTTTTCATTTAGTTGCAAAGGCAACATTTCTAGCTTTCATTGAATTTTAAGTTTTCTAACATTTATATATTTTTTTAGCTTTACTGCAATTAACAAGAATGATTTGTAATATTTCTATATTTAGTTAATAGTAACAACACTGGTCCGGGGTCGATCTGACTCCTGAAAAAAACAAATTGCAGAAAACATAATTAAGACAGCCTCAATTGGTGTGTATAGCAATCATATAATCATATGTAAGGATCCACCCGCCAGCCCAAAAAGCGGAATCCAGCGGCCTGGTTGAAGGTTTAATGCGTATCCGGTCTTTTACTTGCGCTTCTGAATTTATCAGGACTTAGTTTCAATTTTGTCTAGCTCCGTCTTCAATCTGACTCCAATTTCACGTGATCAGTTTTTAACTAGAAATATTGCTTTCACTGCATTAATTAACATTTTGTATATGGGGTCCCTAAGACCCTAAATGTAATAATGTAACAGTAATTATTTTGGTTGCAGCATCTTATTAATAGATGTAGAGATATAATAGATTGAGAAACATTATAACTCCACCTGATCCTTCAATGATAAGAAAATTTTTCAACCCATTAAAATGGCCTTGGGGTCTCTCAGTCCTAACAGAACACAAGGACTAATAACTCTTATGGCAGACCTATAATATTTTATTTACTGGACAGAATGACCCTAAACACAGCTGCTGTCAGATAATGGCATACAGTAAATGTCAAGTTGTGTTAAGAGCTTGAGCCAAGATGTCCGGGATTTTTGGGAGGTCTGAGTCAACATGACACTGAGCATCGAGTGGACTGATTCAGTGGTTCCCAGATCTCTGATTCTTGTAAGCTCCACTGTAGATCTTAAGTTGGGAGACTGATGGGAGACTGACACATGCTCAACTGGAGGTGGAAGACACAAAGGCAGGAAAAGCAGAATGAATAAAGTGAGTTAGCGCTCATGATGGAGGGCTGAGTACGAGAGCTTCGAAATCCCCCCACACAAAGTGATGTGCTCCAGAGGACACTCTCAATACGCTTCCTTGATCTTTTGGCTTATATAATATAATTAAAGACTTTAAGCAGGCTTTACAGAGACAGGCAGAGCTCGCACAGTCAGGGGAGGGAAAAGGAAAATCCCTTAAGAAGGCCCATATGTGGCTGCAGACCCGTACTGCTTCCTCTGAGTCTCTCTCTCTGCGGAAATCGCTCCGTTATGCTGCTTGTGCACTCACACGTAGTCATGTGATGACACATACGCATGCACACTCTCACCCACGCTCACACACACACACACACACACACACACACTCTGTAAGCTGGAAAACTGTGACAGCAGAGAGGAAAGCAAAGCACAATTTAGTTTCGAAACTCACAATACGAAAATTTCGAAATTTACTGTGTATTTGACATCTAACATTTCCATTTCAGTTGTTATCTCACTGATATATATGTGTATTGTACACCATATGAAAGTGTTTTTATTTAAGAGATACCGTTTTTGGCATGGCATCCCTTGTGTAACAGTAGTAAACGGCTGAGACTTGTGTGTGCAGTGATTGGAAAACTTGGCAGGCAAAGATGCAGATGTGATAATCAACTCTTACGTAACGCTAACACAGTAATGCAACCTCCGAGTCTCCATTTCCCTCAGCTGAACTTATTCAGGAGCCTCCGAGCGCTCCTGAATCAGTATCCGTAGCATTTTGAGAGTGTGGACTCAATCGTCATAACACAAGTCCTCTCTCACACACGCTGATTGACATGAAAGTGACAAACGGAAGAGGAAAGTGCAAGCATTCTCTAATTTTAACTGTGAATCACAGGCGTCATTTACAGACTTTTTCGCCATGTATGATTTGTTCCCCACCACTTGAAATAGGTTGGGACTGGATCTATGCAACACAAAAAAAATAAAATTCTTGGGCATAGGTTTTTATTTTATTAGTGGGTATTACAATGAGATGCAATGGTTCTTGAATTTGTTATTTTTGTTTTTATTATGTTCCCTTTGGCACTTCTCAAAGTCAGCAGATATGAAATGCTTTTAAAAGCATCCCCAAAAAATGTCACTGGTAAAACACACCTTACACTAAATTTGCTAGTAATACTTTTCCCCAGCTTGTGATTGGTTTCATTGAAACCATAAAACAAAATGCTTACAAATGAGTTCCTATCCAAAATATCCAAGGTAAAAAATATTACAATTAGACCAACTGCCCATAATTGAGCATCTACTGCTGATTTACGTAGTAATGAATTAATAAATAAAATGTCATTCAATAAAATAAAATACATAAAATAAAATACAGACCAGATCTACATATCAATGCATGACTATTTATCAAAGCAAATTTTTTTTATATATTTATGCAATTCATTTTCATGAGCTAATCCATGTTATGACATCACAACACGCGCTTTCTCCACCCAACACTCTGTAGCGTCTCGACCAATCTGACACACTAATTTTAATTTGATTTAACAAATCAATTATTCATTAGGTTAACAAATCGTCACAGTCCCCTCACTCACGAAACTTGTTTACACGCCTCAAAGTGACGCTCACACCTCGAACGAAACAGCTTTCCAGTTAAAAGGTTAACATCTGTTTCCATTTTTTACTGACAAACGAGGCTTAAATAATTCAGCTGTATTCCTTTGTAAACTTTTAAATGCCTTAAGAGGCCAGACAGTGGAAACCCTTACCGAACTCTGTGTGGCTCAGGCGAGCGCAAGTTAGCTAGTTCCTGACACGGCTGTGTAGATTAATGTTCAGTGCAGTGAGAAAGGAAGAGGCTGGCTCTGTCCCAGTTCATGCCAGAGGGAACTGGAGTTTATTTTAGTCACTGTAGTTATGCAGAAATAGGAAAGAGGCCTGTGACATGCCAGCAAGCTAAAACAATGTTCACATGCTAGCTGCAGCACTGCCGGCACAGATTTGCAATGCATACTAATCTTACATAGCTTGTCTAAATTCAGTCTGAAGTCACAGAGAGGTACTGATTACGCGTATATTTGCATACTGGTTCTGTTTAAGATGCATGGTGTGCCATTCTACTCCCCATTTACTGTCGATTTTTATGTTCAAAATCTGCTAGCTGATTAAAATTGAAGGGACCGTACCAGTGCCGGCCCGTAGGGTTGTGGGGCCCTAGGCAAGATAGCGAAAATAGGCCCCACTAGTGTAAAAATTGTCATAGCAATTTAAACATATAACAAGTCTGTCTATGATCATGGGCGTCATTGCATTTATAAAACAAATACTAATACTAAAGCAATAAATATTATGTATAGCAGTAAGAACTCCTTTTTTTTTCGGCTCCATAAAGATACCATTTGGATTCCATTTCTACTACAATTTCACTTTAATCTCTCTATCATTCTTTCATTTCAATTTCAAAATCTGAACAAACAAAATCTGCACACAAAATCTGAACTGTAACTAGAAAAGTTTTCAGATAAACTTTTTCTTAATATAAATAATTTCTATAAATAACACTAAGTTTGCTGTGCCTGTTTGTAGATCTGCACAATTTGGCCCCCCAAAAATTGTTGTTTTTAAATATCAATATAACTACTAATAATTCTGATTATAGTTATAACTAATTAAATCATTAAACAAAGTAATAATTATTGATAATGATTATTATTAATATAGTTTACAGAAAACTGCAGCATGACCTGTTAACATGCAAGAGGTTTATAATTGTTTAGAAAGGTCTAAAGATTTATAAATGATTATGATTAAAAATCATTAACAGTAATTTCTTAATTTTTGTCAGAAAATATTATGCATCCACTGAGAGAGAGAGAGAGAGAGAGAGAGAGAGAGAGAGAGAAAACTCCTCTACACTGGCGAAAAACTTAGAAGTATTATTTTTCTCATTTTTACCCAAAATAAGGTGTAGTGAGTGGCTGTAGCTGTTTCATTCATACTGGTAACCAGAGGGCGGCCTCGTGCAGTAACACCATAAGTGAAAAAATCATAAAATGAAATACTCACAAAAATCACGTTGGAGGAAATCCCTAACATGGACAAAGGCATGTGCTATCGCTGCAGTAGCTGAATAAAATGCAGATAGGATGTTTTAACTGATAAAGAATGAAGACCATAAACATACGATTGTGATTAAATGGTGTATCTCTGTTCTTCAAGCCATCACGGGTATTTTTTATATGCATAATGTACAGTATATTCATGATGCAATGCTAATCAACATAGCTTTTATCACTGTATAGAATATTATAAAATGATTTTGCCTCATTCTGTGATATGAAACCATGTCAGATCACAAAAGGAAGTTATTTCAAAAATAACTGAAATGAATTTACAGCAAAAACGTCATTAAATGTTTTTAAACGCACTGTACATCTGGTGTGTCATCTGTATGTGTGTTGAATTAAAGGGGTGCTGCAGATCGATAAGTGTTTGACATCAAAGTACTGCAATACACTCTTAAAAATAAAGGTGCTTCACGATGCCATAGAATAACCTTTTGTCTAAATGGTTCCATAAAGAACCTTTAACATCTGAAGAACCTTTCTGTTTCAAAAAAGGTTCTTTGGGGCGAAAGAAGGTTCTTCAGATTATAAAAAGGTAAGAAAGAGATGGTTCTTTAAAGAGCCTTTCACTGAATGGTTCTTTGTGGAACCAAAAATGGTTCTTCTATGGCATCGCTTGAAGAACCTTTTGAAGCACCTTTATTTTTAAGAGTGTAGGATAGGAAAGCATGCAGAGCTGTCCATTAGTATATAGCTCTTGTGGTACTTCGATGTCAAACACCAATCTGTCTGCACCACGCCGCTTCAAGTCAAACACGCCTTGAAATTTAATTGACAACCTCGCGGCTGCGGGGCCCTAGGCTACCACCTGTTGGACGGGCCGGCACTGGACAGTACACGCAAAAATGAAAATTCTGCCACTTTACACTCCACACTACAGACAACAAAAAAAAAAACATTTTGTGTTCCAGTCATACAGGTTTGGTATGACACGAGGGTCAATACATTTTCAGGGAACTTTTCCTTTAATGGTGCCATCAGATTCATTTTAACATTGAAATCTACACAACTGTTCCCATGTATCAGATAATTAATAAACTTGCTGATATAACAATGGTTTATAAGGTAATTGTTTTCTTAGTTACTTTGTCTCAGTAAATGTAGTAACTGTTTCAGACTTTCCACAGTTACTGTGTTTCATTGGTCTTGAACTTAACTTTATAAGGTTTCCTGATATGAGGAATTCCATCAAGAGGTCTCTTCAGTTATGCCACATCCCCTGCGATCGTGACCCTAAATGCTCTTAGTGACAAACCACAGCAACTACAGCACATTCTACTCTGTGTTGTTGTAGCATCTGTGAGAAAAATGAATAAAATATGAAACACTCATAGTACATTTATCTGAAGCCTTTCCTTTTAAATTAGGAACTACTGTAATGGATTAGACGGGTTTGGTCTTCTTAGCGCTTCCCATCTTCAGCAGGCTTTCCACGTGAGGTTTGAGGGTCCATCACTCATGGCCCACGTTTTAGTTAAGCTCATGACTTACATTATCAATTTAGTCGCAGTGTGATTATGTAAATTATATTTGATGACGGCTCCGTATTGGCAAGAACACAAAGGTTGACTACAATTATTCTTTAGCCAATTATCAGCAAAGGCCTGGAACGACCATTACCGCTCCTCTCATCTCCTCCATGCTGCGTGTCAATTTATGTGGTGAGAAATTTTTTAAGGAAATAAAAGCGGGGTGAAAGAAATTAGGAGTATCGTGGGAGGCGACTGGGATCTGCGCACATGATTTATGGCATTTTGCTCTTTAAGTTAAGGATGGCAGAGGCCGTTCCGTCAGCAAACAATTCAATCACAGAGCCCTTCACTCCGGACCCTTTGCAGAAGTAATTACCAACCCACCCTGAAGCACACATCCATCTTAAGGCTTTAAAAAGCCACTCATTCTTCATTCATGGAAATTAGCGGCTGCTTCCTTCTCAGTCATATGGTCGGCATCTAAAAATACCTCAGAGGTCATTTGCCATGCTTATTGCAATCAATAAGGATCCATTCCAACACGGACACATTCTTCGCTTAATTTTTTGGTGCTACGGAGAGATATGTTGAGGTAATAAAAGGCACATATAAGGGCGCATATCACTTTCAAACATGTCCTTGCAGGGGTTTCAAAGTGCTTAGCTTGCCTGTTTGGTATCGTTCACAGTCCCGTTACTGGCTGACAGAAGCCACAAATCAGTTCTTATAGTATTTTATTAACCAAGCAAATTGTAGTAACACCCTCAATATGACAATGTTCCATTTTAGCACTAAACATATGACAAACTGCCACAAAATTCAACAATTTAATATTTTACATGGCACTGTTGCTCATCATATCAATGCCAAGCAATTTTACCACCTAATGTGATGGAAGCACAAATGTGCTTGTGACATCACAAAATGTCAGACTTGGTTATGTAGAAACAATTTAAAATGATCTCTGACAAATAAAGTTGGTTAAAAAATATCTGTAGTACAGCATTTGCTCATTGCCAAGATAAAAGTGAAAAAAAAAATATTATGATCAGAAATGTCAAAATATACACTACCACTAAAATGGTGAGGTTGGTAAGATTTTTTTTAAATGTATCTGAACACCTCTTATGATCACCAAAGCTGCATTTATTTAACATTATATTATTTCTATGTTTCTAAATATATCTTAAATTGTAATTTATTCTTGTGATGGCAAAGCTGAATTGTCATCAGTCATTACTCCAGTCTTCAGTGTCACATGATCCTTCAGAAATCATTCTAATATGCTCATTTGGTGCTCAAGAAACATTTCTTATTATTATCAATGTTGAAAACAGTTGTGCTGCTTAATATTTTTGTGGAAACTGTAATAGATTTTTCAATGGTCAGGATTCTTTGAAGAATATAAGTTCAAAAGAACAGCATTTATTTCTTTTGCAACATTATAAATGTCTTAACTGTCACTTCTGATCAATGTAATGCATCCTTACTAAATAAAAGTATTAACTTCCTTACAAAAAAAATTTACTGACCCCAAATGGTAGTGTATTTTAAACAATTTTTTCACCACTGATGACAACTGCAACATCCGCACAACAAACCACCAATAACAGCAAATTCTAGTGCGTGATCACATCTCATTGTAACACACACTAATGGAATTAAAATTCTAAGACAATTGGATATCCATCCTCTGCAATCAATACACACCCTCCACAAGGGACAAATTCAGCCATTGCAAAAACTCCCCAACGTCCACACCATAAAAGACACCTGACTCAGCTTAACTCAGAGGTTATCGTTAGAACTAACCTAAGCCTGTCTCAATCCCCTTGTGCAAGAAACACATCCCTTTGCCCTATTCTTGTTCTGCTTTTGGACAGTGTGTATTGGGCTCCCAGCAGGAGTGTGCGATCTCTTGGGAATTTGTTTCTAAACACTGTTCTCTCTCCAGAGTCTCCAGGGAAGAAAGTGCTAAACCCAGTTATGTGGAAAGAGCTGTATTTAGCATTAGTGGTCGACCGATATATCGGCCGATATTTGGCATATTTTAAATATCGGCATCGGCCGATAAGTTTTCCTGATGCGCTCGAAGCGGGGCTTTTATTTTGACGGCGTGCAGGACTGTGCTCACATTCTCCCTCTTGTTCGCCGTCGTCGTTAACAGTTCTGTCTAATACGGATAGAAGTCTGTCTAATAATCCGATAGAACTGTTAAACAAAGGAATTAAAATGCATACAGAAAGTATTATAACGATTGCTTTTATATTATTACTAATAGAAAAGGCAAACATTATAATACTTTCTTGTTTGCCGTCAGCATTCAGCAAATACACATTTATATCATTTAAACAAATCTTTGAATGACTAATTAACACTTAATTTCACAAACCTTGCAAACTTAGTCGGATCCAGTTGTGAGATCTTGAGAAGTGTGCATGATCGCGTGTTCTCTGCTTGACGGTCGGTCCGTGCGAATTGAATGCGAACAGGTGGAGAGTTCAGCTTCACTGGAGACGCGCGATCGACAAACTTTATACTCTTTAAATTATGCTGCACTTTATTCATTTGCCCACTGCCATATTCATGTCATTTCCACTGTGTGCTGTATGTAAAATGAGTGTTACCTTAGCTTTATTTGAAAAAATATGATTCCCAATGCACACAAACTTCCCAGAATACTGAGTGCCCTGTTGGTTACAGTGTTTACTTCCTTTTTTATTATATTTTTTATTAAATATTCATTTATTTGTGAAAAATACTTCGTCATCTAAAGTATGTTTATTTAACATTTATTTTTTAATCCATTTTCAAATTATTTCAAATTTCTTAAATATTAATTAAAATAAATACAATTATATCGGCCACCCTGCGTTCCAAGATATCGGCATCGGCTGTCAAAAAAAAACAATATCGGTCGACCACTATTTAGCATGCAACACTGTATTGAACAACACCTACTTTCAACTGATTCTTCAAACATGCAGTCTGTGGACTGACTAAACTGAGCCTTCTATGCATTGCACTTGCATCTGACATGCACAAATTACTAGGACTGTTAATCAAAGAAAAAAACAATCAAAGAAATTAATTCTAGGATATGAAGATTAAGTAATAAAATGACTCATATATTGATTTTACTGAAAAATAACATCTCAAATAAAAATATTTCAAAGACATAATTTTGGAAGAGAGCTGACCTTTGACCTCCCTGTGCTTATGCAAGATTTAGAGGAGCCTGGTCAGGTAGAAGCATTTATAGTTTGAAATAGAACAAAAAGATGTATGCAGCCTGCTTGACCAGCATACTGTATGTTGCAGGTCCTAAACTTTGTATGCTGGTGTCCCTATGCGGATTTATAACTAGCTTAACCAGCAAGATAACTTTGGTCAACTAGCTTTACAGCAAAGCTATGCCGATCCCCCAGCTGGATAAGTGCAAAATTAGCACTAACTAGCTTAAACCTATGTTGGTCTTTTCAGCATAGAGAATTTACATTTGTAAACTGAAGCTGCTGAAGCTGAAGTGACTAATGCCTGAGAACGAAAAAGCTTAATAGATGCCATTTAGTGTCAAGAAATTTTAAGGCAAATGCACAAGATGAAAAAGCAATGTTGTCATTTGTAAGCACTTGAAATGAACTCCAGCTCATACATGCACAAACACATTGTTCCACTTATAGGCTATTTCTGTTTCCTGCAGCAATGCTCTTCTGCCGTGTCCAACTTCACATGCTTTTTTATAACTCTCCATATAAAGCAGTGCCATAGAGAACAAAGTCAGTGCCCCCTTACCCCTGATGGTAGACTGTGATTCCTGCAGCAGGTGTTTGAACAGGAGCAGGCCTGACAGGTGGTTTTGTGGAGTGTTTCCATGGCTGGATTGGGCCTCAGAGCACTAAAGATTTTTTGGAATCCTGATTTAGAAACACAAGGTCAGAGTCCTCCAGCTCACAAATCTAAATTGGGGAGCATGTTTGAGTTCAAAAGCCTGCTGAAACTAGAATAGTGAAAGTACTAACATACCTACAGTGGCATATCCAGAATGGAAAGAAATGTGTTGAACCTTTGGGCTCTGACACTAATGACTAAAGTAGGCTTGGGAAAGGAAAAATACCTTGGCAATCAAGGGAGAAACACTTTCTAAACACCGCTGGAGAATTGTCTTCCTTTCTGAGCGTTGTGTTCTTGCGCATGTGCGTTGTTACTTACTCTACGTTTTGTTTCAGTGCTTGGACGAAATAACGATTTGCTAGCTTGCAGTCGGAATTGAATGGCATAGTATAAAAGACGGTGTCGCAAAACAGTGGTTCAAAACGTCTTTCTATTGACTTGTCCTCGCGCGCACAAAACAAATGTAAACACAGTGGAGTCTACAAAAATAAACAACGTCGCGTAGTCTGATTCATGACTAAATTATCCGCTTGAATGATTCTTCTTATGCCGAGTTCACACTGCACGATTTTAGCCCGATTTTTCACTCGCCGACAGGTTTTGCGAAATCGTCGACAAATGCCCGAAATCGGAGGCAAATCGGTGCTCATTCACGCGAGTGACAATCACGCAGTGTGAATTATCAAAGAGGCGATCTGAGGGAATCGCTGATGTGTCGCTGACGCCCGTGAAATATTTGGCATGCTAAATATCTGGAGCTGTCGGCGATTCACAATCACGCAGTGTGAAAAGAGTTCTGACTGAAAAACACATCGGCGATGACCTACAGCCAATGAGAGACCAAGATACAGGGCAGCGGGAAGTTCGGGGAGGAGTTATATGAAACGTAGTTTGCAGACCAGTTTTGCCAAACTGATTGCCGCGATTGCCGCCGGTTGTTTTTTATGTCAGCAGGTTGAAGCGACCCCAGTAACGTGATATTTAGACCCTGGAATGTGAATTGTACCAGGAGAAACCCACCAAAAAAATTTTTTATTTTACCCCCCAAAGCGATTTTTACTGGGGGACCCTCTCGAAAGCAATTGGGCTATTTTCAGGCTAGTTTTGAGCTGTAATTGGGCAGGTTTTGTAGCGAAAACCTGGCAACAATGCACCAGACAGCGCTTTCGGCGATTCTTCCTATATTGTAAAGTCATGCAGTGTGTAACCTCCTGTTGCCGATCCATCGTGCAATGTGAAAACAGCAGCGAGTCAGCGACTGACTCCTACCTCAGATAGTCGTGCAGTGTGAAAACCACGGTAAACCGACGACTTTGAAAATCGTGCAGTGTGAACTTGGCATTAGTGAATTAAAACATTCCGATTCATGAACAAATGACTTGGACAAATGAGAGGGTCCTTTTTAGTGGATCAAAAATATTCCGCGCAACCCACTCATGACCAAATAACCTTTATGAGCCGATCTCTTCCAAAAGACTAACAAGGTGGTTTAACTGACGAATTCTTCACTGAATTAAAATTGTTCATGTTTAATACTGCATAAAGTCCCCAAAGGTTTAGTTATGTAAATAAAGAAGAAGAAAAAACATCCCATAACTTAATTTTTAAATGTATAATTTGTTTTTTCAAAAATCTGTAAAATTAGGTTAATATTAAATTAATTATATATGTCCCTGTGCTTAAGCTTATGAAAAACAAAAACAACAATCTGTCTGGCTGCATAATCTCAAAACAGTAGTGTCTTCGTTTTCTTCTGCTTTTCTTTCACATTTGTAGAACATAAATTAAATGGATATACAGTGGGTACGGAAAGTATTCAGACCCCCTTACATTTTTCACTCTTCGTTATATTGCAGCCATTTGCTAAAATCATTTAAGTTCATTTTTTCCCTCATTAATGTACACACAGCACCCCATATTGACAGAAAAACACAGAATTGTTGACATTTTTGCAGATTTATAAAAAAAGAAAAACTGAAATATCACATGGTCCTAATTATTCAGACCCTTTGCTCAGTATTTAGTAGAAGCACCCTTTTGATCTAATACAGCCATGAGTCTTTTTGGGAAAGATGCAACAAGTTTTTCACACCTGGATTTGGGGATCCTCTGCCATTCCTCCTTGCAGATCCTCCCCAGTTCTGTCAGGTTGGATGGTAAACGTGGGTGGACAGCCATTTTTAGGTCTCTCCAGAGAGGCTCAATTGGGTTTAAGTCAATTTTTACAATTTGTATTTTTTAATTTGTACAAAAATCTGTAAAATTAGGTTAATATTAAATTAATTATATATGTCCCTGTGCTTAAGCTTATGAAAAACAAAAACAACAATCTGTCTGGCTGCATAATCTCAAAACAGTAGTGTCTTCGTTTTCTTCTGCTTTTCTTTCACATTTGTAGAACATAAATTAAATGGATATACTGTAGTTAGGAACCTATATTAGAAACACTACAATATTAGAAATATTAAATATTACACATTTTGTGTATAAGATACCAAAGAACATGGCAAACTGATGGACATTTTTATTGATTGCAATGGATGTTTTTTTTTTTTTTTTTACTTGTCTGGGGAAATTACCAGGAAAAATGACGGACTTACTGACATGTTAAACAAGAACTGAAATGAGAAACAGATAAAAATTGAAAAATGTACTATGATTAATAAGGGTTTGTTCAGTTATAATTCCTCTGTATCTTTCCTCTTCTAAGTTACTGAAATATACAGTAATTCATTCTCTGTTAAATTAATATGCCACATGTAGCGGTTTCATAATAAATGATGTTCCAGTATGAAACAGGTTGAGTGAGCTCTACGTTTTGGCCTAAAGCAGGGTATAACTCTGCTGATGATGCATGTTTGATGTTTTCTGCTAATTTATAACAAATGCATTCCGTGTTTTGACTTAAACTCTCTCTCTCTCTTAAACAGATTCATAAATTACGACATAATTTCTCTCCATTGCAAATGCTCATCCAAATCTTCTTACAAAAGTCCATTCTGTGAACTTGTCAGCGATTTTGGTAGGCCAGAGTTTGCTGGTCAGTCCAGGGCAAGTGTGGCATGTTCAGATTTTCAAATATGTGAGTGATTTTCAACAGTTTATAAGGCTTATACATAATTGTGGATTTAATCATAGGTGAACCTTTCCATTCAGTACCATCAGAAGTTTAACCTAAGTGTAAAACCCCCTCTTGGACACTTTAAATAATGCATGAACTGAAAAGTTCTGCTTACATCTGTGGTAGGCTTACGTCTGTCTGAATGTTTAGTACTCTGCCCTTAAATCCAGTTTAGGATTGACTGATGGCCTTATGGCTGTGGTAATTACCCAGCTGGTTAAAGTAATTAATGAGGCTGTGTATATCCTGCATCTGCAGTCGGCCACCCCTGAATGCTGAATGAGATTAGCTTAAGTATATATTCACTGGTGTAGATAAGAGATCTGGGTGAAATCTACTGTATAGCGTTAATTTCTAAGAACAGCAGCAAATTCACATATCAGGCTTTAAAATGACATTAGACCAGGCAGACATTCTCAACCTTGGGGTTTAATAGTAAAATAAAGATTCTCAGCCTTGACATATATCCACTCCCCTGCATCCCCGGAAGATTTTTGGTTTGTCGCAAAAGGTTAATATTCAAAAGTGTCAGTGAGCACCCTATAACTGCTGGCTTGTTAACAGTTATTTGTGCAAAGCAGGATTATGTGCTCTTTCTGCATCAAGACCAAATACGCATCCATATTTGATTTAACAGCGGAGATGAAATGCAGTTTAAAATCTAATGCCTTTGTCTTTGATAAGCCGCAGCTTGATACACAAGTTCAGGCATCTCATCAGACAGGGTGAGTGCTAATAAAGAGATGCCCAAAAATGATTTGTTAAAGTTCTGCACAGTCAATAAAATTTTTTTTTACTAAAGAGCAAAATAACAAAACGGGCCAAAAAAGGTTGAGGATCCTTGCATAAAGAATAATTCAATAAAACATCCTACAAAATAAAAAGATTTAATATACATGAGACTTAAAAATAGTTATTCTAGTCTATGCTCAATGGTGTTGATGTCAGTAGCGATGATTCACGGTGGGGTTCTTCTTAAGAAAGTGAAAGTAGTTGGGAAAACTGCAGTCATTTCATCACATTAAATCTGAGCATTATCATTATTCAACTACACTTTACTTTGGCTATATAATGTTTAACAATACAGCTTGTCTAAATCATTTCCAGTGGCTAGGAAATATTTTTCGAGTGCAAATAGGAAACCTCACAAATAACCAAAATTCAAAAGGGGTGACCCATCCTCTTCTGGATGGCCTGGTGGAATAAATAGCCTACTCAAAGGATAGAGAGTTATTGTAGTTACCTACAAAAATATGGCAATTCTTCCACAGCTTAGTCCAGGGTTCCTCAATAGCCGGCCTGCAGGCCCGTGAGAGAAAAATGTTTGGCCTGCGCTAATTTCAAATAATGTGGCATGAAAATTCAAACGCAGCATCAGAAAGCTACATTAACTTACATCGTGTCTACACCGGACGTGAGCGGCACGGCGTGACGCAACAAAATACAATAGAACCCATTATAATCAGTGATGCTCTCTACACTGGATGCGGCGCGGTGCAACACGACACGACAAATCACTGACAGTAAACTGCTGCCACGTTCTGTTGCACTGACACAAAGTTGATGATTTGATTTGCAATGCTCTGTCGCATCCAGTGCAGATACGATGTGACAGCAAAAACATGGCAAGTGTGAAGAAAAGAAAAGTAGACAAATGTGAATGGACTGAACAGTTTTGAGTGACTGAGTGACTGATACCATCTCTGTTATGGAATACACGTGTTGGTTCGCAGTGAGTTCACAGTTTTAATGTACAAGTTTACTTTAATTTATTTTCAAGATCTGAGGTAAAATATTTATTGTTGTTTTCACTATGGCTATAAAGATCACGCAAAATAATATTCAAACTCAAATTAGACACTTTTAACATTGAATAAAGCACATAATCATTACCTGAGATTATCACTGTCATATTTTGTATGTTGTTCCTGCTGCGAGGTCGCAGAAAATACAAAAAAATGTCATTTCATTTAACTTCCTACCATACTGGAGAGAAAAGAAGTAGCTATTTGATCTGCCAGTCGTGGGTCTTTCATGCAGAGAAGCTCATATTTTCTGCATAATGATGCATTTAAAAGTTAACGACCAAATGGATGTTTATAAAAGTTCACATTGCTGTTGCAGATGAAATGTAACACGGATAACAATAAATCAATATTTTTTTACCAAGTTAAATGCTGATTATTAGTAACTCAAACCCCTTTTTGTAAAGCTCTCTACCTAACCGTCGATCACGGGCATCCGCCTGTAGTTTTTCTAACGCGTTTTATTCGTGTTTGTAGTTCTGGACCGAATCCTTCGCCAAAGCGTAATGGATTGTGGGCAGTTTTAGCCATTAGAATGTGTATGAA